GCTATGAAAAAATATAAAAGACCGATCACTCATAATCCTCCATTAAAAAAAAATAATAATGAATGGGCGAAAAGCAACATTGAAAAGGCACACGTTTTGGCTGAATATTTAAGTAATACCTTCAATCAAGAAGAAACCCATCATATAGAGCCAAATAACAACATAGATGATGAAGCTATTTTGCGGATAAAAAATAAAGAAGTAACTGGGGAAATCAAAAAATTGAAATTAAAGAAATCACCAGGATATGACCTCATAACTAGTGAAGTGTTAAAAAAGCTACCTCCAAAAGGAGTAGCCAAACTTGCACAGATATTTAATGCGAGTATAAAATTAAATCATGTCCCTAGCTATTGGAAAGTTGCTGAAGTGGTGATGGTACTAAAACCAGATAAGGACCAACATTCTCCAACTTCATATAGACCAATCTCTCTCCTGCCAACCATAGGAAAACTGTTCGAAAAGCTTATCTGTAAAAGACTTGAAAAAGTAGTTTATCAAAGAAATCTTATCCCAAATCATCAGTTTGGATTTCGGAAAAAACACTCAACAATCGAACAAGTACACAGAGTTACGCACGAAATAGAAAAGGCATTAGAAAACAAAGAAACTTGTTCAGCTGTGTTTCTGGATATATCAAAGGCTTTTGATGGGGTTTGGCACTCTGGCCTGATATATAAGTTAAACACTATCCTGCCACAGCAATATTGTAAACTACTGGAATCGTATATTGGCGAAAGGTACTATCGAGTTAAACTACTTGACGCGTATTCGAAATTATATCCTATAAATCGCGGGGTCCCTCAGGGGAGTATACTAGGCCCATTGCTGTACCTGCTGTACACATATGATTTGCCAGTGAATCCAAGATGTATTGTTGGAACTTTTGCAGACGACACGGTATTAATGGCTACAGGTCCAAACAACAAGGTGTCTACCACTAAGCTTCAAATCGCTCTTCAAGAAATTGAACAATGGACAAATAAATGGAAGCTGATAGTAAACAGTTCAAAATCTAATCATGTAGACTTTACTAACAAAAGAGAAAATCAAATTCATTATTTTAAATAGGTAAAATTCCAGTTGCAAATTCTGCGAAATATCTAGGTATGACTCTAGATGCCAAACTGAGATGGAAGGTACACGTCAAGAAAAAATTAAATGAGCTAAAAATAAGATACAAAAAGTTAACTTGGCTTATTGGAAGGAGATCTAAATTATCTCAGCAAAACAAGCTTATGATCTATAAACAAGTCTTCAAGCCGGTCTGGCTCTATGGCGTCCAAATCTGGGGTTGTGCGAAGAAACATATAATAGATATGATGCAAAGATTTCAAAACAAAGCAATCAGAGATGCAGTTAACGCTCCGTGGTACGTGCGAAATTCTGATTTACATCGTGACCTAAAAATACCTACTGTCAAACAAGAAATTCAGAAGGCTGCTAAAAAACATTATGACAGGCTGAGACAACACTTAAACAGCACCATTCCAGCGCTACTTTGTGATGTCACTCACAGACGCTTATGCCGCTTCAAACCTAATGACCTTTTGAGGCGTTTCAACCAGCAAGGAGATGACTAGTTCGTATCTATATGCTCACCCTAGATAGACTTAGATAAATTTACTTGTAATAAAAAAAAACCTCTTGTTAGTCAATATGACTAGTTGTTGTAAATTTAAACTTTTCATTTTGTTTAAATATAAATAAAAAAAAAAAAAAAAAAAAAATTTTTGTAATACTGTTTTGCCTATGTGCGGCTTTTTTTATTTCTAGGTCGAATAACATAAGTGTGACTTATGTGGTAATATGAGTACATTGACATGAGAAAATACGATACTAAATATTTGTATACAAAAGCAACAATAAATTTTGTAATAAGAAACTAAGTAAAATAAAATACAATAAGTAAATAAACAATAATAAAAGATTAAGCATTTTATATATATAAGAAAAGAAATACAATGAGAGTATAATGAATATTCTTAAGATAATTTATGTGGTGTCATCTTGTGTGGCGGCTTGGTGAGTAATTGTAACTCCTCCCCCCTTAGAGTAGAGCGACGGCCACAAGGAGTTGCTTGGGGTAGGAGCGATAGTGTCCGGGGTGTCAACAATGTACTGGATAACCTTAGTTTTGTTCTTGAAAAATATGATGAGGGCTAGTATGATGATTGTTGCAACTGCAAAGGTGGTAAAGCTGCAATGCCATGTTGAAGTTTGTTTCTCGAATTGCTGAAGATTTAAATTTGTCGCCAGATTGAATGCTTTTAGAGTGTGAAGATTCAACACTTCTTTTGTTGAATTGAAGTGGACGTCGTTGCTAGGTGGTGGAAGGATGTAAATATTGTCCCAAAATATGTTAGGGTCGTCTTCATAGTGTATGCTGTTTATGGTGATGCTGCAGTTCTTGAAATGGATTAATACAGTACCCTCGACTGCCAGGTGCTTTATGTTACAAGATGAATTGATGTCTGTTTTCGGAACTTGCATCAGTAGTACGTAGTCAGGTTCAGGCTGCGTTATAGTTTCGATGTCATCAATTGTGGTGGATGGACAGTGTGCAACTTGGTTTCTCATTAATCTGCCCATGCATTCAGACTCTGCTGTTAACTCTTCTAGGCGTGGCTTGTTGCAGAAATAAATACCTTCTATTTTTGGAAAAGCGGTGTCATAGTGCTGTATGCTATGCTCATTATAACTTATAAATGGTTTTATTGAAATTATTTTTGTTTTATTTATAGGCAAAGGAATAATATGGTAAAAATTAAATTTTTTATTAGAAAGTTTTGGTATTTGAATATTGAATATTATATTAGATTGGTTATAATAGGCTTGTAAATTAAGTAATTCATATATTTGCTCATATGTATTTATGGTTACTTCTTGTTTGTCTAAAGAATTTTTTATTTCTTCGAGTTCTTTAGAGCTTAACAAGAGCTTAGGAAGAATGTTAAGTCTACTGAGTATGACTGCCTCTGCAATATCCGATATATGACTTGCTAATAGTTCAATGTTAAAATTTATTTGATTTAGATACTGAATTTCAATGAAGTTATCTTGTTCTTCCTTTATTTTATTAGCAGTTTTGTCTAGAAATGATTCTATTATTTTCTGTTCTCTATTTATGTGAAGAGCAATGTCGTTAAATCTCTGTACCATGTGTAAGTTAATCCAGTGTTGGTTCGTTATTGTTGAATTAAATATATTTATGTTAGAACGAATATTCTCAATTTGCTTATTAATATTGTCCGCGTCTTGCGAGTCCATATTTCCGGTAATAAATTTTATTGTTGTGCCTAAACCGTTGATTAATCCTCTTCTACTTCTTTTGATAGGCGTAAGTGTTATGAGCTTATTTTCGAGTTCCCTCAGTTTAATTTTCGTCACGTACAAGGAACTAGTTAGTAGGTCTCTATTTTCAAATTTGTTTAGTAGGTTTTTTATTGAGTTAATGTTGGATTTATATTCTTCAAGGTTTACTATGTGGATTAGATTGTAGTAGTTTTCTATCGTACGGGCAGGTCCTAGTTGTAAGGGTAGTATACTGTAATTGTCCTTAAAGTTATGTATTTCTAACAATTGTGTAGATACAATTGTTAGTCTAGAAAAGAATAGAGGATATATGTATGCGTACAATATATATTTTATTAATAAAAATTTTTTGTATTTTAGTATCTTAATATAAAAAAAAAATTTCTTTCCTTCTTTGTATATATATATATTTTTTATTATTATTATGTGTTTTATTGGTTGATTGTCCATATGCGTTGGTCTTCAACCACATATTCTTGTGCATCTTATAATTAAGTGGTCATATACAATGACATTAATTTCGCACTGCAATATGTTATTATTATTAAATTATTATATATGTTAATTTTTTTATAATATACTTTATTTATTGAGTAATTTCTGTGTGGTGTTTCTTCACCTGTCTTCTTAGTTTGCATTTATGAATTTTTTTATTACGTGTAGTTAAAACAGTTTTATCATTATTTTTTGATATAATATGTTTTGAGAACCTAGGTGTAATTTTGTTTCTCCTAGCTTCTTTCCTAAATACAATGTCATGTTCTTCAAATTCTTTTGGAATTTCTTTCGTCTTGTTTAGTTTGTCAATTATGTTAGATGTTTTCGTTTTCATGTCCTCCTGTACTTTTGGGTATAGTTCGTTAAGAAATTCATTAAGTTTCTGTAGGTATTCATGTTCATTTGAGAGATTCGTTTGTATATTAAATGTGTACGGTCTACCGAAGAAAAGTTCGTAAGGGGTATGCTTGGTTGAGGAGTGTATGGCATTGTTATACGTAATGAACGTTTCAAATAATATCTCCTCATGTTCGGTTGACAATTTTTTCTCTTTTCGGGTTGTGAATATTAATCTATAGATTTCAGTTAAGGTTGAATGAAGACGTTCTACTGGTGCATTGCTACTAGTCTGCTGAAAGGATGTGAAATGTAGATCTATGTTGAATTGTTTGCAAAAATCCTTGAATATATTCGAGTCGAATTCTGCGCCTTGGTCACATATTATTTTCTTTGGTATGCCGTATGTGCTAATATAATTCTTTAAATACTTTAGGATGGTTACACTAGTCCTACAAGGGAGTGTGTATCCGCAAGCGAATTTTGAAAATTTGTCTATTAATGTAAGCATTTGATTATGATTAATGCTATAAAGGTCAATATGAATGATTTCTAAAGGTTTTGGTGGTATTTCTGGTTTTTCGTATTGAGGTTTGGGAGGGTTTCTATCGTATTTCAGGGTTTTGCATTTATCACAGTTATTGATGGTCTCTGTAATTCTGGCCTTCATATTAGGAAAATATAGCTCTCTTTTTAAATGTAGCATAGTTTCTTGGATTCCTCTATGATTGGAGTTATTACGATATTCCCTAACAATCTTTTCTTGTTCCTCTTCCGTTGTAATATCTTTCAAAACTTGTGTGCACCATGTAGTGCAGATAATTTCTTGTAGAAAGTTCTCTCGTATTGCGATTGGTAGTTAATATATGATATTCTACCTAATATACATTCTTGAATGTTTTCATATTGTTCCGAAATGTCTGTTCCGTTGTAATCATCTTCTGCACAACTTAGATGTGACTACCGTAGTGCAGTTTAAAAGTTTTGTTTGGGCGGTATAGAAAAATATTTTATTAATATAGCTTGCTTTGAGATGATACTGAAATGTGTCGTCATCACGAGAATATTGCATGAAAGTCTTGTTTGTCGGGGTATGAAATTTTTTGAAAATGGTATTAGTATGACAGTTCTGCTCGTTGATCGATTCAGGCACATACGGTCAATCGGTATCCGTACTGTTTGTTCTGTTCTCAAAAATTGTTTCGGTTTTCATTGGGGGACCCTCATTTGTGGTTTCAATAATGAATTGTAGATTAAATTCATTAATTGGTTTTTCCGAAATTGGGATACAATTATTTAGATTTTCCTGTATGGTGCTACACTCTTCTGTAACATTTGTATATATTCCTTGTGGAGAGTCCACTGAATTATTTATTTTGACACGGCTTAAAGCATCTGCATTTGTGTTGGACTTCCCTTTTTTGTACACTATTTCGTAATCGTATTCTTCCATTTTGAGTCGCCAACGTACTAATTTAGAATTTGGTTCTTTAAGATTCATCAGCCATGTTAGTGGTTTATGATCAGTCACAATTTTAAATTTCCTGCCAAAAAGATATGGGCGAAAATACTTTATTGCCCAAACGATGGCTAGTAGCTCTTTCTTGATGGTTGAGTAGTTGCATTCACTCTGATTTAGAGTTCGACTTGCAAAACATATTGGCTTGTCGCTCCCGATACGACCTTGGGATAAGACGGCTCCTAAAGCAAAATTACTGGCATCTGTTGTAACTACGAAGGGTTGTGTGAAGTCTGGATATTGTAATAAAGGGTCGTTACTTAGGATGGTTTTACAGATCTCAAAAGCCTCTACATAATTTTTATCTAATTTGATTTCTGCACCTTTCTTTAGGCAATTTATAAGTGGTTTGGTTAATTTAGCAAGATCTCTGATGATTTCCTATAGTATCCAATTAAACCAAGGAAGGCTTTAATTTCGGTTCGAGTTCGGGGTAGAGGAAAGTTTTGAATCGCATGAATCTTTGAAGGATTTGGTTTGATGCCATCAGGTGTGATTATATGACCTAAAAAAGCTATTTCCTTCTTTAGGAATTCACATTTATCTAGTTGTATTTTAAATTTTGCTTCGCGAAGTTTATCGAAGACTAATTTAATACTTTCTAAATGTTCCTGCATGGATGTTGAATAAATTATAATGTCATCAAGATAAACTAGACAGATTTTTCCCACTAAGTCTTGTAAAACATTGTCCATAACTCTTTGGAACGTGGAAGGAGCATTTTTTAATCCGAAAGGCATTCTCGTATACTCATAGTGTCCACCTTCTACCGTAAAAGGTGTTTTTTGGACATGATTTTTATCCATTTCAATTTGATGGAACCCACTTGCAAGATCTAGGGTGGTGAAATATAGACATCTCCCTAATTTGTCAAGAATTTCGCTAATATTTGGTAGTGGATATCTATCTGCTATTGTTTTTTCGTTGATTTTCCTGTAGTCTATGACTAATCTCCACTTCTGTTCACCTTTTGCGTCTAGTTTCTTAGGAACTACCCAAACTGGTGAACTCCAAGGCGAGTAACTATGTTGAATTATGCCTTGCTTTAGCATGTCGGTGATTTGTCTTTTAACTTCTTCTTTGTGTACGTATGGGTATCTGTATGATTTCGTGAATACCGGAATGTCGTCTGTGGTATTAATTTTATGTTTGATTTTATTTGTAAATGTAAGCTCGTCTCCCTCTTTATACAATAGGTCGCTGTAATTATTGCATACCTTTAAAAGTTGTTTCTTTTCCTCAGTATTGAGATGGTTAGTTCTTATCAAATGGCCGACATTTGTTGTTTCAGAATTTTCTATAATTTCTTCGTGTAAATTATAGCAGTTCGAAGGATCATAGATATTTACTTTTAAGGGTTGTTCGATAAAAAGTGATTGATCCTTGTTAGAATAATTTATTAATTCAACCGTACTATACCAATTGTTCGCATTATAAAGCCCACCTGCAATATAAAGGTTCGGCTTTATCTCAATTGCGTTAATATATACATTGCCGGCTTCCTGGCTTACTGGAAGTCTGGCCAATATTTTTGAATACGCTGGTATAGCTATTTGCCCTGACAATGGGTTCGGCTTGAGGTTAATGCTATTTACAGCATTTTTAGTTGACATAATTTTATTTTTGAGGTCGATTTTAGCATCTAGTTGGGTTAGTATGTCTATTCCTAATAGTCCATCAAAGTAATTATGGAACTTAAATAATAAAAACTTGGTTTGACCAGCTTGATTGAATTCAGAGAATATGGGAAGAATTGTATATGCTTTTAATTTGTATTTACTGAGAACGGTAGTTATTGTTACAGGATTGCATTCGTACTGTTTGTCGTTTGGAATAAATTCAGGATTTATAAATGACATTGATGCACCTGTATCTAAAAGAAGTTTTAGTGGTCTGCCAAAGGGTGAACTTATAATTATGAATGGGAGAGTGAATGGCAGTTCCTTTGGGTTTATATATCCCGTCGGTTCTTGGAGGCTGGTTTGAAAAAATTTTGGTTATCCTGGGTTTTTATTATGTTGTTGGTATCATTTTCAAAGTGGTGGTCTAGGCTTTCCGTTTCGTTGAAATGAAAGTTACTGTTGTTGGGATTCCTCACCATTGAATTCTGGCTTGATTTGATAGCTGGAAATCGTTCTGCTTGTTGATTCCTGTTATTACTCTGGGCGTGCTGGTGTGGCCTTCTATCGTATGAGGTCCATGTTGTTGGATTCTGAGTTCTGTATTGGTTGTTGGCTATGGGTCTCGGGTTTTGATATCGTTGCAGAGTATTTGAGTAAGGTTGTTGTCTATTTGGGTAATTATAAGTTCTATTATAGGGTCTATTATAGTGTTGTGGTCTATATGAGGTTTCACTCCGTTGGTATGAAATGTTTTGTTCCTTAATGCAGTATGCAAATGCTGTTGCAATGGTGTCAGGTTGCATTGCTCTAATTCTAGAACCTAGTGGTTCTTTTAACCCTCCAAGAAATGTGTTTAAGCACATTTCGGAAAATAACTTTTTCTTCGCTATTATAACATTTTGGTCTACTTCATGAATTAACATGGTGTTACAGAGGGAAGATTGAACCTCAATCACTTCACTGTAAAAATTTTCAACCGTTTTGTTATATTGCTTTAAAGAATGGAGATCCTTTATTAGTGATGTCTCCGTACGCTTGTCTGAGTAATGGATAATGAGATTGTTTTTAATTTCATCCCAGTTTAAAGAAGTGCCGTACATATTTAAAACTTCATTTGCCTGTCCTTGAATTTTATTACGAATAGCCCTAAGTAGAATTTGTCCGTAAGGTGTTCCGTCAATACCTCTCAAATGTAGTAATATTTCTTCTACGTTATTAATAAATTCGTATAGTAGTTTTGGATTTCCGTCATATTTAGGAAGGTCTTTAATTGCGTCAGGAATTCTTAATGAATTAAAAATGTCGGATTGCAAACTTAGGGTGGTAGTGGGAGA